GAGAAGATTGACGTCATACAAACTCACTAAGTTTTTGTTAGAGTAGAAGCACTTAATCCATGAAACTTAGTAAAGAGTACAAGAGGTACCAAATTATTTCATACCTATTAAATATTAATCAGCGTTACATTTCATGAATTAAATGCAAGTCATATACTCTAATACAGCTTTAATCACTGTGATAGTTTATTGCAAACACAATTCCATCATATAGTAAGTGTTTAATGTTTTGTCAATGAACAACAAGCATGTCGAAGCTACTTGGATCACGACTCGTTTCTACAACAATTCATTTCTGTTAAAGATTGCCGAAAAAGAAAAGTTTGCAATGCAACAACTATCACAGTGACAGCAAAATGAAACCGTGGTATTACCATCAAAAATATAACACAAACTAATATTATTATTATTATTAGAAGTACTCTCACAAAGCAAACAATTATATGCAAATAAAATGCACTAAACACGAGTGCAAATAGTCTTGTACAAAAGAACCAATTAGTCATGCAACAAATACTCTGTGTTCAAACACTTCACATGACATCTGTGCCAGTAAACACGAGGTGAATTCCAAGTGAAACAGTATTTGATTAAGATCTGCTTGTCCATTCACTTAAAGCACATCTCCGACATAAATAATCGTTTAAAGGTTCAGGGACGACATGATTCAACCACCAATGTCAATGCTGCTGTCCCTACTTCCTATGAAAGTTGACAATGATACCGTCCTGTACATGCTTTCACCAAATGTATAATTATCTATTATTTTTCAATCAACAATTCTAAATCGACACAGCACAGCATATAAGAAGCAATGACACTGGTGGTTACTGTAGTGAGAGTACTTCTCTGTCAATCTTTTCCAGTATGGTCCATGATTCCACCCTTCAACCCTTCCTCCCCTAAACCATACTACTGCATGAATACCAGTTAGACCCAGTTATAACCAGCATCTGAAGAAATATGCTTTTAATTTATCTGCAGAATTATAGGAAAAAACTTTCATCAATTGCCCGTTTGGCTTTCAAGAAGACAATGCCTTTTTGTTGTAGTCTTGGTTCAAAGTCCTTCTATTTGTTTGTTTTCTGTTTTTGTTTAGAACAAACTAATTGGTTGATATCTTTTGACTCAATACTAGAATTGCTTTCAATAAAACATGAACTGCAGTCTATAAAAGAAAAATCTTTTTGGTGCAATAATTTGTTGTTGGTTTCTCCATTTTGTTTTCTGTTTAAACAAAACTGTGTTGTCAAACATCAATATTGTCAACAAAAATGTTCAATAGAACTACTTTTATCCTACTTCTCTCCGCATCCTGCATTTCGGTGTGGTATATCACGTGCTATAACTGGGTCTAACTGGTGTAGCAGCTAATTCAATCAAAGACAACACAAGACAGCTTTGTGTATGTAAGTGTGTGAATGGTTGGTATTCTTTTTATATCACCGCTGCATTTGCAATAATGCGTGGCAGTATCATAGAATCCTGTGAAATGGTAGTAAATGGGTGAATTGCATTGAAATGGGTAGGGTGAATTGCATTGAAAATTCTTGTCTGTAAAATGACAGTTCCTTGGTTGCTTGATGATCAACTGATTTGTGAGTTTAATGCCTTAGCAGCTCAGTGGAAAGAGCAACTTATTTCATGTTTACCATTTTCATGACTGCTTTCTTTTCTGACACATAGTATACCAATTGATTGATTGATTGATTGATTGATTGATTGATTGATTGATTGATTGATTGATTGATTGATTGATTGATTGATTGATTGATTGATAAATCTCAACGTATCCATGGTTTTGTCTTTACTGATGATCAAAATAAATGTCTAAACCTGTTTCTGTAAATCTGGCAAACTATAATATTTGGCTTTACAACTTTTCCATTTTACTAAAGTAAAGAACATCATCATATGCACACATGAAAAACACGTCAGGTCAGGGGTCCACAAGATTCTATGATACTATACATACCATCATTATAAAGTACTCAGAGCAGACGATTGTCAATCAATTGAACTTCTCACACATTGGATGTTTGGAGGCTGCATTACTGTAATCTAATCTACTGATGGATAAACTTCAGAAGAACAACAGTGAACAAAATATAATACAAAACAAGAGATTTACACTGAAACAGGGCCACCATGCACAGACCTGAATTACAAGGCTATAGAAACCCATTATTGTACAACTTTGTTTCAAAGACATCAAGTTATCCACAATAATTATCAAGAAACCAAGAAACATCAAAATCATGGTAACCTATTCTCATGATTTTTAGAAAAGAAACTTTAACATATCTGTCATTTTCAATAGTTCATAAATCATCATGATGAATAACTATAACACCTTGTAAAACAGGACCAATTGACAGGGTACAATGGAGGGGTACAACATTAAAACACCTTAGCTACATGCATGTGGTTATCAATTGAAGGGACAATAATGTCTACCTTGCAAACATCAACTGTTTCTACGTAATCAGGTTTTAAAATCATTGATTCTAATATTGAGCTGTGCTTACCAATTATTTAAAAAGAATATA